AACATTAATTACTTAACTTTAAAATGATTTTTTTTTTGCTATTTTAATCTTCTTGTTTTTTTCTACTCCCAAGTGAAGAACTACTCGAGTGTTTGAGTTCACAACCCTTTTAGAAGGGCCTATAGGTAAGAAATGAGGTCTTCATGAAGAAACATTATTTTTAGAGTTTAAGTTGAACTTATCCCCTTTTCAACTAGGATACTTTAAATCCATTGTAGGTTAGATCATTCATTGCCTTCTTTTCTTCTTTTCTTTTATAAGAAATTGATATTTCGTGTAGTTAACACATAATAATAGCTTAAATTGCCTTACCTTCACAAAGTTATTATTATTATTTTTATGCTTAATAATAGCTTGTTTAGAAGAATTCAACGAATTATTGGTGTAATCATCTAATCACGTTCATCTCATATTAGATTACTTTGTCTTACATTTCGGAGAAGGGAATAGCCACAACTGAAGGGTCAAAATTTATTAGCTTGTTTATAAAAGATATAAAGGCCATGTCTTTCGGTTGCTCTTCTATTCTCGATCTCTCTCGTCGCCCTTCACTGCTCCGACCAAATCCCGATCTCCCTTCCTCTCTGTCCGACCCAGTTCTCCTTCCCGATCCCGTCACCTTTGCCTTGGCCGAACTCCAAAGCCGGCCAAACTCCACAAACGCCGACTGCCCTCTGTCCCAAACCCTCTTCCACCTCTGATCTCTCGGCCGACCCGCACAAGTAGAGAGAGAGAGAGAGAGAGAGAGAGAGAGAGAGAGAAAGAGAGGAGAACCTCATACCTAGCCGACTGCCCTAGCCTCCTCCTCCCCGGCTTTGCTCCTTCGAAGACATCCCCTGCCTCTCGGTTTGGTAGTCACGACATTTTGATCGGGACGCAAGAACAGGAGCTCGTTAGCTGAGAAGGTAACTTCCTCCCTTAGGCGCGCTTCCTCGGCTTGATCCCGTGAAAACTGAGAGGAGGAAACAGAGGATGTATGCTAAATCCTCTCAAAATTTGGCTCTGATCTTTCATTAGTCTTAATTAATCATGTTTGATTAATTATGATTTTTTATAATTAAGCATTATTAATTACCAATAATTATAATTAATTAGTGATATTGATTAAATTTAATTGATTATGTTTAATTACTTCTAATCTTAGTTAAGTAATTATCTATGATTATTCATAATTAATTATTGTTAATTAATTATAAATAATTATAATTAATTACTAATTATGATTAATTTAATTAATTATATTTCATTAATTTTTTAATCTTAATTAATAATTGCTTATGATTATTCATACTTAATTATTAATTAATTATAAATAATCATATTTAATTACTGATTATGATTAATTTTAATTAATTGTAATTAATTAGTTTAATTATAATTAATTATTTTAATTAATAATTAATTATTATTAAATATAGTTAGTTATAGTTAATTTTTATTAATTATAATTAAGTAAAAAGAATGCTTCTCTCCCTTGATCCTCAAGCCAACACCGTCGACCCCACGTAGGTATAATCACTCCTAAACCCTATACACGGCCGCGGTGTCCTCGAAAGAGGGCACCTACCATACACGCTTTTCTTAGCGTGGTGGGAAAGGCCCTATTTTCCGTTGTTTTCCCCTAAACGGGGGAGACGCCGGAAGGCTACCGAAATTTTGGGTGAAATATTGCTACATTTGGATCTCATTTGAACTCAAGAGAACAATTTGAGACTTGGACTTGATTGCACTCGAATGGCATGCAAGAACGACGAAGTACTTGGACTTTATAACAAGAGCTAAATGACTTAATACATCAATTGAACTCAAATAAAAAATATATTGAACTAAAGTCAAGCTTGGATCAATTGTGGACTTGACTTGATCTAAGAACTAGAACTTGATTTGAACATTAAGCCGACAAGGCTTGGACTTGAGAATGATACAAGGGACTGGAATGAATATAAAGGACTTATTGAAGACTTGAGTTGGACTCAAGCCGAGCTGCACTTGAACAATAGAACTTTGATTTGAACTCAAAAGATCTCATTCAAAGCTTTATCCAAACTCAAGCAGTTATAATTTGAACAACTTGAACTTGTATCTTGAGTCTCATTTGATTCAAAATCAAGTGGAACTTGAGTTTGAATCAAGATGACAATGAATTGAAATTGCAATTTGAAACACTTGAAAACAAACTTTGGATTAAAAGATGAACGATCAAAACCCAAATATTCTAGAAGAGAATGCTAATCATTCAAGTGTAGGAATACCATTGAGGGGACTACAAGATTTCAAGGCCTTAAGATCAAATCCGAGTATAAAAGAAGTGGCATTAAATAAGATTGATTGTGTTGACCCTTCAGACAATTTTTGCTAGATTAAATAAATCATAAGCAAGAGAACTTTTGTTATGATAACATGCTTCAAAAGCACTTGCATAGTGAGCTCTTAGATATCAGCAAGAATGGTGAGGTTTGCGTTCAATGCAATAATTGTGAATGAATCATAAAATCAACATCGAAGTACAAGCAACTATATTCAACTTTGCAAGTAATAAAATAAGAGGAGATTTGATTTCAAACAAATATGCAAAGTCTCTAAATGATACTACAAAATGCATGCAAATGATGAAAGTCAATGTATAAGGGTCCATACAAGTCATAAGGAAGCCCCTACTATTGAGATTGGCTATCTGGTAAATATACGTGGCAATCCTTACTAATACTAGAAGACACACAAGTAAATGCGGCGGCCCACCAATCAAACACATCAATCTTCTATAAGCAAAAGGGTTTAATGACAATTACAATACCCATACAATCAATCACCATTCAATGATCAGATGAAGACATAATCACATGCCTGCAATCAACCACCGTCATGAGCTCAACATGTTGTCATTTGCAGAGCAAATAAAAAAGAGAACTGTAGTAGATACGAGCTCTTACAAGATGTTGTAAAAGACCTGTGGTACGCCCAATATGTTGTCCACAAGCAAAAATACCAAATGACTACACAACAAATGTAAAGCAGGAGACTCGTTAGTGCACTACGATCCACCTGCAGAAAGCAACGAGTAGTGCACGACAATCCACCTGTACAAAGCAGAGAGTAGCTCTATTCAGAAGCTGCTACGTCACGCCACCGGATTTGCAACCCTTGTACAAGCAGACAGAAGGCGTCTATAAATATTATAAAATACCCCCGCACGTGCACTGTAATTTGTATACACATAGGTACACTAAGGGGGGAAATACAATCTCAACTCGCATGGGCCCCGGCGAGCGTGTTATTGGTACACACGTGACGTCTAGGGATGCTGCGCGAGTTGACAAGTGAATTCAGGTTCGAAACTGATCCTTCTATACGGGTCAATAGAAGTCGACAAGGTTCGAACCAACAAACAAATATACAGTTGTGGCGATCGTTATATTTGTCTTAATACATCTAAGTTAGGCCTTCAAGGCCTATAACAATGAGAATTCACTATCAAAGGGCATAAAGCCTACGAAACCTGATCCTCTGTCGACAGCCCGATAGAGTTGACAAGGTTCAATCAACAAAAGAGAAATGACCCCGAACACCCCGATGATGGCCGTGTTGAATGCAAATCTCAACCGGAGGGGTTCCCAAATACTTTCAAGTGTCTCCCAAAAGTCCATTTCAAATACCCCAAAGCTCCACCCAAAATTCCAAAATTCCAAAAATATTTAAAAATGAAATCAATCCATCAACACACTTAAAGCAAAGCCCATCCCCCCCCCCCCCCACCCCCCACAACAGTCTGTCAGGGTGGACAAATTCAAATAAACTCTAGCTCACAAAGAGCCAAATGCCTAGTCGAAAATATCACTAGGATCCATTCTCAAACAATCTCTTGCCAGTAAGGACGTGGTACGTGTCCTCTAACCGGCAGTTTCGCCGCCAAATGGCACTGCAGGTAAACGGTTATGACCCGGGGCCCTCTGAACCGAGTGGTTTTGCCGCCAAATGAACTCAATTTTCAATACCCAAACCTATGCTGCTACTATATGCCAGATACATGTATTTTCTATACATATGTGATTGATGACTAGCCTTAATCGAAAGTTCTCTCTCATTATCGAGAGGGGTAATTAACTATAGGGGCTTGCGCCTATAGGAAACCAGAACTCAGATCATAAAGTCCTCACAAAATGAGGGCGAAATCTCTGGGTAGTGTATTATCTACAAACCCATCTACCTTCCAAAATTTACCCCGGAACTTAGTCAGTTAAAACTCCCTCGCCGAATAAAAAGAAAGGCGAGCGGAGGCTGGGGCCGAATTTTCGGAGCCCACATTTTCTAATGTTAATGTAAAGTCCATTTGATAAAACTTTTGCTATAGATAACCTTGAAGACAAGTAATAGCAACATGTACTTGTAAAGATTTATCAAAGATATAATCTCAAGAATATATAGTTGATTGGTTAAAGAAATATGATAGAAGTAAAGAACAAGAAATGTAGAGAGGGGTGATTGATGTTTTATGGATGCATAAAAATGTGGAGAACGCTTAGGCATATGCATCGAAAAGCTATTAACATAATATGTACTCTAGAAAATAGTTGTGTATAGTTTACTTATGAGGATAGTCTTACAATGATGTGATAAGATCAATTAATCTAACTGAATTTTTACCCACAAAGTATATGTCTAACAATAATTTTCAAATGATGGCCACATTGTGTCTGCATAACGAAAATTTTCCTATGATAGAAGAAGAGAGCGGTCTAACATGCTCGGAGATTAAATGACGAAATGCAAAAAGACTATCATTGAATGATTTTTAAACCATCAAATGTGACGTGATACTAAATGATTTAATGACATTATGAATATGTTCATATGCATCATGCAAATATTGTTTTATGCTTTCGTTATAGCCATCATTCTCAACATGGACATTGCCGAGAAAATGATGAAACAAAGCATTTTTTTTATTTAACTTAATATTTATGATTTTTTTTTTCTTCTGATGTAAATCATTCCTTGTGCAGCCTACCTCTTCCCTAGCAGTCTAGATCCTGAAATTCTTGACGGTCTGCTTGGATCAGGTATCATTTTTTATTTTTCTTTTTAATTGTTGAATATTAGTTGATAATCTTGCATGAGCTTATTTTATTATTATTATTTTTTGCTTATTTTCTTGTTTATTCAGTTGGAGGAGTGATGGCTTTCCTGACCTTGCATGAAATGCTACCTCTTGCATTCGACTATGCTGGTCAGAAACAAGCAGTTAAAGCTGTCTTCTTTGGCATGGCCTTCATGTCTGCAAGGTTTGTTACAAATGAAGAGAATTTTTAGTTATCTTACAAAATCAATAAGTACCATGAGCTTCTCTTGTTTCTATATCATGAACTATAAATTGCATCTGCCATGAAAATGTTGAATAAGTTTGTGTGCTAGTCGATTGCCCTATCTAAAAGCTAATCTTATGCACTATCAGGAGTATAATAGTTGTCACATCTCTGATGATGTATGTGGACGACTAGGTCATTGACTTGCATTTGTTTTCTAATATTGAGTGAATTCCTTGAGCGTCGTTTAAAAGTCAAGCAAGTTCCTTACTATTCCTCTGAATGGATTAGTTTTTGATTTGCGCTTGATGATGTAGGGTGAGTTCCTTGAGTGCATGTAGTGACAGAGCAAGTTCCTCCTTTATTTTGTTTTCATTACTAATTCATTTTTAATGAAATTTTCAACATTTGAAGAAATAGAAAGGAACATAAAAGAAAATTTTCTTATTTATTGCTAAGGCAGAGGGTATAGTTCAAGTACAATTACCTCCTTAAGGATATAATGACTTTACGTTGTTGGCGCTTCAGGTCCTTGGAAGTTCCTTGCTTGAGTGTGTTTTTAGTTGATATGCATCAGAGCCAACTTGCTTTGTAATTATATAGGATCATTCCCATTGTTGCGTTTATCTTAGCACCGAGTTACCAGGGTAAAAGATATTCTCCTTGACATTTGCATTTTAGCACTTGGACATCTTTTTTTTCACCTTCTTTAGGTTTAGAGTAGTTCTTCTAGTTTGTCGATTGTACCCTTTATGCCTTTCTTATTCCTTTCTTCATACTCGGCCATTCTTCTCTTCACCTCCTCCTACTTAAAGTGCTACTTGGGCTTTGTGTTCTTTTAGATGGTCGACTATGGTCTCCATTCATTTCTTAATCTTTTCTTCCGACTTGGTGAGCTCCTCTTCCTACAGTTGTCTATGGTAACCACTTGCTAGCTCTGTAACTCGTACTCAACTGAAACCCTTAGCCTCGTGGGAGAAAGCAAATGGTGCTTGGGCAATTGCTGAGGAAGGTGTGCTCCTTAGTCCCTGAAGAATTGAAGGTTGTCTCTGCTAGTTGCCTTTTGCTACTTTAACTTTCTTCCTCAATTTGTTCAAGATCTACTGATTTGTTGTCTTAACTTGTCCATTGGTTTGGTATGAGAAGCAAAGGAAAATTTGAGGCAAATACTTTGTGACTAACATAAATTTTAGATTCTCATATTGGTGAACTATGGCTCATGTTTTATGATGATGATGTGTGGAAGTCCATTCCTTCATATGATGTCTGATAACAAAAATTATAGACGATCATGAAAATTGTTTTATTCTTCTCATTCACCTCTATCCACTTACAGACATAGTCGACTGTGACTATGGTAAACTTTCCTCGAACATTGGAGGCTTGAAATGGACATATGAGATCCATTGCCTATATGGTGAACAACCATGAATTGGCGTTGGTTGGAGCTTGTGGGAAGGCTACATCTGCATGGGAGCCAATTTCTAATATTAAATGCATCTTTTTGTGAACTCCTTTGAGTCCTTTTGAAGGTTTGGCCAAAAATATATTTATTGTAGGATTATATGGGCAAGTGTTAAGTGGCTCCCATACTTGTTAGTCTACATCCTCAGGCACATTTCTCAATTTCAATCTCCTTCGTGCATCTCAAGTTCAAAAAATACCTACCTTTTAAACAACTTGTTGATGATCAAGATATATTTCACGGCTTTGATTTTGAATCTCCTTGGGTTTGTGGCCTCGACGATGATCTTTCTTGTTTTCAACTATTTAATGTAAGCTTCCACCCAACTCGCCTAATATTTAGCTTTCACTTGCTTCAACTCCCATCATCGATGTTGGGCCTAGCTTTCGTGACATTCCTTTTTGACATTAAATTTGTGGTAGGTGACTTCACTGCCAATTTCCAGCATCTCAGTTCATGTCCAAGTAAAGATGTTGAGGTTGCCTGAGTGCTAGACAAAGTTCATCACGGTTTGATGGGCTGAAAGAATGGTTCTATATGAATCACCTTTTATCGTCAGAATCTTCTCCACTTCCTCGTTGGTCTTTAATCTGGTTTCCCTCTACTTGGAGTTGTAGCATGTCTTCCGTTTATTTGGCTTGGCAGGCTTGTGACTGTGTGAGCTTGCCTCGCCCTATAATTACTTTTCCTCTCAGGAATTCAACCATCATGTTATATGCTGAGATGATCGAAGGTATTTAGGAATAGTCACCTGAAGATGGCGGCGGGGGTGGGAAGGGTGGAAGGGAGGGGGTGTTAAATTAGGAAGCATAAAAATTCAATTTATTAAAATAATATTTACAAATTATATTAATAGAACTCCATGTATTGATGGGCATGTTACTGATCTAATAGTTGGTAATCAACAAAGTGACTACCACAGCTTTATTAAAGGGGTTCCCATTCACCAACTTGTCCAATATGTAAAGGGTGATTTAGTCCACATCATAAAAATTCATTTTATTAAAATAATATTTACAAATTATATTAATAGAACTCCATGTATTGATGAGCATGTTACTGATCTAATAGTTGGTAATCAACAAAGCGACTACCACAACTTTATTAAAGGGGTTCCCATTCACCAACTTGTCCAATATGTAAAGGGCGATTTAGTCCACATCAATCATTGGTGCTCATGACATGGTGGCCGAGTTAATATCTTTTGTGCAAGCTCTCTTGAGATGCCCCTGATATATCTTCTGTAAAGATAGAGGGAATCACCTAAGTGATGTGGATGGTGCGAGTCGAAATGGGCTCATTCCCTTGAGCTTATGTAAAGGCCTTCTTTAAATGAATCTACTAGGATGAATTCATTAAACTACTTTTATTTGGTCTCCTACTAGGTCATGAAGGAGACTTCATTCCTCTGTTCCTTGTCCTTTCCTTCTAGAGCACACATTCGAAGTGTCCCTAGCATGGGCACTCACCTTCATTGGCATTAGGAGCTTAAAGAACTCCATGTTTAGGATGGCTTCCATATGCTTGGCCATGGAAACGTGCAAGTTGGTGATGGTTGGGCTTTAATAAGTGAGATGCGTTCTTTCATCCCTGTGTGGTCGGGAAGTGTGTGTTGTTTCTTCCACTCATGGGGTGGGAGGGCCTATAATTCTGAGCAAACTCTCCAATTGCAATACCCTATGCTGACATGGATGGCACTAATCTTGCGGCATATGTGGCCTTCTATTCACCCTATGGTCCCTTGGGCAACTCCTATCGTACATATGGATTTAAAGCCGATCAAGCCTTGTCACTAGTTTCTTGGGGCAAGTGGGGAGGACTCAATCACATTGTTATATTTTTTGGCGTTAGACATGGCTTTTGGTAAACTCCAACAGCTTGGCTAGTGTTTGTGGCTATTGAAGACTAAGAGCATATCTAAATGGCCTATCTCAATACCCTTGTGTTTGCCAGGTCTATGTAACTATCAACTCTAGACCTTTGGCCTCCAACATCTCCCAATGAAACCTAATAATAAAGCTCCTTAGCAACTTGTCTTGTTCCTATTTCATCTTCAACGGAGCCTGCAAGATCTTAAATGGCCTTTGAGTGTTCACAAACTATATAGTAAACATTCTCTTAAAATTAGAGAATGTGGTGATAACGCCCAATGGTAGGCAAGAAAATCATCGAAAGACGGATTCTTTAAAAGGTTTTGAAGAACATTTGACAATTTAATGTGTTATTGATGTCCATTAGTGATGACACCAACTCAAAGTTACCCACATAATCAGTGAGATCCGACCATTCTTGCTTTGATTATTGGTGTGGCATTTTGAACATGGAGGGTGGCTTTACCTCTATGATCTCCCTGTAGAATGCATTATCCAGTTTTGACTCCCTCTTCACTCTCTTAGTCAAAGGATTGCACTCTTCGTCACTATATGACTGGCTGTGGTCAGCAATGGATGTTGAAGTTGTCCTTCTAGGATTCTCCCTTTAATATCATTCCCCTAAACTCACCTCGGTGCATCTTGAATCATCTTTGTGGTTCTCTCATCCATCTCCATAAGATCATAGTGTGTAGTGAAGTTTTGTCTCTCCTTGTTTTTTGATGACTCCATGTTCTGCTACTCTTGACTTTAAAGGAGAATTTAACTTATGCTAAGAAAGCTAGAGGTAGACCTAAAAAGACTTGGTTAGAAAATATTAGAAATGATCTTTCTTTATTAGATTTAAATGAGAATTTGACTTTTTTTTTTGGGAAAGATTTGGGCGTTGCTCGTATATTAATCAAAAAGATTACATGTAAAGTAAGATAATACTAAAACCAATGATGTCTGGCTAGAAGAAACCCAAAGAAAAGAAGACAGAAAAATACAAGTAAATGGCTAACAAAATGCCATCAGAAAGAAATTCAATAAAACAGGAACGATCACAGCAAGAAGGAATCCGAGGACTAAAAAACCTTCTGGATCTCCCAAAAACAACATCATTGACGCCACAGATAGAAACACAAGAGAACCTACAAAGCAGCAGGATCCAATTGCACGAGTAATCAACCTGGCTAGAAAAGAGCTCCAACCTGTGCCAAAATTGCAAGCCAAAAACAGAACTCCCATGCCCAAAGCACCTGGACTCAGATATAAAATAGATAGAAAAGCAGATCATACACAACCCTGGTTGCCCATGGATACCCATAAGCCGTCTAAGAGGAAGTGAGGGGTGTTTCATCATTGCCCAGGAGGGCGTATCTGCACATACTTGAAGGGATAGCAACGAGAAACACATAGTGACCCAACTTAAAGTCTACATCATCGCATTCCTCCATTTAATTGTCTTCTCAAAAATAGCTCTGTTGATGCATATCAGTAAAGTAGTATGGCATTGAAATTGATTGCCAAAAAATTCTATTGTTTCTCTCTTTCCATAAATAATAAATCATACATGAAACTACCAGTTTGTAAAAGTTTAACACTTCCAGATTCCCATTGTACATCCCATTAATCCAATCATAAACCTGCAGTAGATTTGGCCTAAGCAGAAAATTACTCATCCCCTTAAGTAAAGCAGTCAGGATATTGAATGAATAAAAGCATTCAAAATAAATGTGAGATAACGTTTCATCACCGTTTTGACATAGACTGCATAAATTCGGGACTGCAATATTCCTAACTCTAAGTGCATCAGCAGTTATGAGTCCCCCAACATTAGCCAGCCAAGCAAAAATAAAGAATTTTAATGCATTTCTTTTATGCCTGTGGGCTCCGAAAATTCGACCCCGGCCTTCGCTCGCTTTTCTTATTCGGCGA